TACTTAGTAATTATTTAACTGAAATCTTTGTGTTACAAAAAAGATGAGAGGTGTAAACTGAGATTAAAAGTGAGTGGTATAAAACAAACTATCACTTTTTAGGTCAGTATAGACCCTGTTCCTAGAGGAGACAGTGTAGTTAAGCATTCTGTATGTAGAAATTGTTCTCTGAAGTTCCATGACCTTTGTTACACAGTAGCCTGGATTATGTTTTTTTATTCTTTAATAGATTTCTGTTCTTGAATCCATTAAATCTCTGGATTAGATTTGATGAGTACTGCTCTGTTGCTAAATTAGAATTATGGTGTGGAGCATGTCAAAGGTACTTTATCATACCAGCAGTAAGGGCTGTCAGAAACTGGGGGACTTTCCAAACTTCTGTTTTAAAAAAAAGCTGGTTGAAATCGCTGTAATTAATTTTTTACTGTTGCTGTTTCTCCTAATGGTTTGGGGGTTTTTTGGTGGTTGTTTTTGGTTTGGTTTGGTTTTGCGTTTTGTTTGTGGTTTTGTTGTGGGTTTTTTGTTTGTTTGTTTTGTTTTGTTTTTTCCCCCCCGGTTATTAATACAAATTACCATAGTGGTTTAAACACTTGAGTAAAAACTATTTTCTTTTTCAACTGTGTGTACAGGGAATGTCCATGTGGACCATCACTGATGCGCTTTGGAGGCAAAGCAAAGGAATATTCACCAAGAGCCAGGATACGTTCATGGATGGGGTATGTAGGCAGGAAAAAAGGTCTTCCATTGAGGTGGTAGGGGAGGGAGACGTGTCTGAAAACACGGTACAGGATTCATTTTAAGATGTTTCAGAACTGGAATTGCAAGTTATAGTTACCAGGAGACAGAATTACTAGTGGGGATCTTATGCCAGTATCTGGATAAATAAATCTTAAATAGGACTTCAGCTCCCTCTGCCAGGTTCATACATTGCATTAAAATACCTGCATGGTCTACTGTCTGTCTTTCCAGATATGAACTTCCCTTTGACAGACATGACTGGATCGTTGACCGATGTGGAAAAGAAGTGCGATACGTTATTGATTACTACGATGGTGGAGCAGTAGATAAGAACTACCAGTTCACAATCCTGGATGTTCGCCCTGCATTCGACTCTCTCTCGGCTGTGTGGGACAGAATGAAGGTAGCTTGGTGGCGGTGGACTTCGTAACTACTCCTGTGGTCTGTAGCTGAGTAAACCACTTTCCTCCTAGGCTAAGGATCAATGAATACTGGGACTTGACAGTTGCAGTGAACTGCTCCTTCGTTATTTTCACCATCACCACTGTTGTGTTTCCTCTAGGTGGGAAGGGAGGATGGGGAAATCTATCTGTTGTTAAGTACACTGATGCTTTATGGTGTTTTGAATTAATTAATAAAGTTATAGTAGCAAAACCAAGTATCTTAATTTTCTTAAGAGCTGGGAAATCTTTTCTTATTTTGTCCCAGATGCTGCATCAGCTTGCCTTCTTCCCATTTCATGACTCCAGAGCTGCACCAAATACATTAGGTTTTTAATTCTGACTGGAGTTTTGCCTATTACCTAAATCAGGAAAACTGGAAATTTCATAAATGATTTCACCCAGTGTATGAACACTTAGATGATGAATAAAAGAGTAAAAGATCTGGGCTGTTTCAAACTGCTTGTTTTATTAATATATAAACCCATGTATTTGTTTTCACGTGGGCACTTTACCTGTTCACATACGTGCTTCCTTACAAAACCTTAGTCAGGTTTATACTGTTAAAGGACGTATAGCATAGTCTGAGTATTTTTAAAGGTACATTAAGTTGAAAATGGAGAGAATATACTCATGGCTTAATGTGCAATTTATCTTTGAACAGAAGAATATTGTTAGCAGCAGGAAATGAGTCTCAGTTACTTTTAAAACAACATTTCTAAAAGGAGATAAAATTGATATTTAATGGCTATTTATTTGAGTATTTAAAAGGTTTATGATGTAAGAAAACTGTATTCTTTTAGTATTTTTATGTCTTTAATGTGTGTCTCATTCAGGACAGAATTAAACCTTATTTAAAGAAACTGACTACAGTGCCATACACGTGTCTGCATAGTGATTATAGTGAGGCATGTGATGGATGTGTATATAACTTGGCTAAAAGGGTATCAAAAGTGCCAAGAAATAAGGTTGATGGGAGCGTTTTTGAAGAGTGGTGCGTGTTAATGCTGTGTGGCTTAAAGATGTCATTAATGTAAGGCAATAAGGGAAATTAACCTTTTTTTTTTTAAGTTTCCCACTGTAATAGCTTTAAATATTCAGGGCTTGGTAAATTGAAGGTGCCACACACTGCTAAATTTAAATTATTCCTCCCTGGCAGCTCTTGAGCTTAAGTCCTCCATGCATCCCCCCACTTGGGGATGGAAAGAGAGTATCACATTGTAGCTTCATAAATGGGAGAAGCTTCCTTCATGAAACTTCACCTTAGCTGAGAACCAGCTGTACATTTCATTTCTGAAAGTGGTTGTTTTTAACTGACAGTGGAATCTTCTTTTTTTTTTCTGAGGGGAAAACCCCTTGATGTTTCAGTCAAGTAACTTCCCATTTAGGAAGAAAATTATTCAGGGAAGCTTCCTTACCTGAAGGTACTAAGGGAGAGGAGTGGTTCCCACTTGAGAGGCAACTGTCCTGCGTGGTAGGAACAAGTATTAGCCAGAAGTCCAGAATCCTAAGAGAAAGCCATGCTCTTACCCCTGTCCACTTTCCTCATTCCTTTTTCACCCTTTTAGTGATTCATATATACATAAATGAAAAATAGTTTGGGGCAAAAGAAAATATATTCCCATCTGAGTAGAAAATTTTACATATGAGAAGTGTGTGAGCTTGTGTGAAGCATCTGATAATGCCGAGCTGCTCCTCTGTTCTGATAGGAAAGACAAGCTTACTGCTTTTTGGGGTGCTTTTTCATTTTGGTTGGTTGGTTTATGTATACATTGGGTAACTTGATAGATGCAGAATTCTGTATGTCGCACAAGTATGGAAGAGGGATACCAGTGTAGGGAAAAAAGAACGAGTCTCCATTGTTGAGTTTGGAAGTGTGATGTTGAGTGTGTTATGGAAATCGTAGTTGCTGCTAAATCTGGTGAAAGGTGTCACATGCCACTTCATGTGTTTACCATCTTCTGTTACATTCCCTTTCACAGAGATTCAAAATTACGGTTTTCTCCGCTACTGTTAATGAAATGTGCTACTTTGTCACTGAACAAAAAGGAGAATCAAATAAATATACTTTTCTTAACTTTGGTATTTGGTGATCATATTTTTAGCTGTAAGAATTACTGAGTTCTTGTATGAGTCGTATGAGATTATAGTCTGTTACAACTAATCACATCTTTGAATATGTACTCTATTTAGGTGAATACAGAACCAAAACCAAGGCTTAAATTCAAGTCTTTGCCCACTAAACCAGCAGTGTTCAGAAAAAGAGCATATGACAGCGTATCTACACCAATACATGCAGCATGGGAAATAAACAGGATGAGCTGGAAGCTACTGTGCAGTAGGAAAACTACGATACAGCTGCCATCACAGAAACATGGTGGGGGGACTCACACAACTGGAGTGCAGCAGCGCATGGCTATAAACTCTTCAGAAGGGACAGGCAAGGAAGGAGAGGTGGTGGGGTAGCCCTGTATGTCAAGCAGTATTTAGGTTGTCTAGAGCTTAATGATGGTGAGGATATGGTTGTTTGTGGGTGAGAATCGGGGGAAGGCTAACAAGGCCGTATCATGGTAGGAGTATGTTATAGACCACCCAATCAAGAGGGGGAGGCAGATGAAATATTCCACAAGCGGCCGGCAGAAGTCTCACAATTGCTAACCCCTGTTCTCCTGGGGGACTTCAACTTACCACACGTCTGCTGGAAATACAGCAGAGAGGAAAGAGTCTAGGAGTTCCTGGAGTGTGTAGGGGATAACTTCCTGACACAGCTGGTGAGTGAACCTACTAGGGGAAGTGCTTCACTTGACCTGCTGTTAACAGAGGACAGGTGGGAGATGTGGTAGCAGGAGGCCGTCTTGGGCTCAGTGACCATGAGTTCTCGATTTTAGGTGAGGTAAGGAGGGGTGCCAGCAAGACCACTACCATGGACTTCCGAAGGGCAGATTTTGGTCTGAACAGGACACTGGTTGAGAGAGTCCCTTGGGAAACTGTCCTGAAGGGCAAAGGGGTCCAGGAAGCCTGGCTGTCCTCCAAAAAGGAAGTCTTAAAGGGGCAGGAGCAGGCTGTCCCTACGTACCCTAAGATGAGCTGTCGGGGAAGATGACTGGCCTGGCTGAACAGGGACCTTTTGCTGGGACTCAGGAAGAAAAGGAGAGTTTACCACTCCTGGAAGAAAGGGCAGGCAACTCAAGAAAGGGATCCTGTGAGGTCATGCAGGGAGAAAATTAGAAAGGCAAAAGCCCAGCTAGAACTTAATCTGGCCACTGTTGGCCAGGGGAGCTTTAGATTGGATATTAGGAAAAACTTCTTTACTGAAAGAGTGGTCAGGCACTGGAAGAGGCTGCCAAGGGAAGTGGTGGGGTCACCATCCCTGGGGGTGTTCAAGGGACATACAGACGTGGAGTTTGAGGACATGGTCTAGTGGGCATGGTAGTGTTGGGTTGATGGTTGGACTAGATGATCTTACAGCTCTTTTCCAACCTTTGTGATTCTGTGATTCAGTTTTGGGGCCCTCCCTACCAGAAAGACATTGAGGTGCTGGAGCATGTCCAAGGAAGGACAACGAAACTGGTGGAGCATCTAGAGCACAGGTCTTATGAGGAGCAGCTGAGGGAAGTGGTGGAGTCACCATCCCTGGAGGTATTTAAAAGGTGTGTAGATGTGGTGCTTAGGGACATAGTTTAGAGCTGGACTTGGCAGTGCTGGGTTAATGATTGGACTTGATGATCTTAAAGGTCTTTTCCAACCTAAATGATTTTATGATTCTATGACAACAAATACATTCATCCTGTGTCTGGTTAACTTCTGAGGAGAGGAATGCAAGGATTTTATTTTTTTTAGTAGTTCTTGAAGTGTAAATGAAAATAATTCATTTCTACGAACAGTAAGACAAGGAAATAAACATGAAGTTTTCTCTTTTAGGTTTGGGTTACTTCATGCATGATGTTGACAGTTCACTATTTCTCACAAAATGGGTGTTAGAGTGATAAGAATTCTAACATAAACATGAAAAACAGTGATTATAATCAATGCTTTTTACCTTTCAGGAGGATGTTTTAACTGTAAAACTATAATTTAGGCTAGATGAAATGCAATGTATGTGCCTGTGTATATGCATAAATAAATACATATGTATCCTTTCTTTGTAAGTATAAAAAGGTATGGAGAGTTCACGAAGCTCAAGTATCCTGATCAGGCCATTCAGGGAATTCTGCAGCAGCATCAGGTTCCCAGTCCCAGTCAGGCCGAAACAGAAGTTTGGAACCCAGCATCTCAAACCAGCTTAACCCTGTGCACATGCAGAAGGGAAAATGTGGACACTGTCATTAAAGCAAGGCTGCTTTTTAAATCAGTTGTGTATGTAGGTATCTGAAGCTCACCTATGTTCTGCTTTACCAT